GTGAACGTCTCTATTGAAAAGAGTTACTTGTATTTTTGCTCCCTATGGGCATGATGAATAAGTATTGAAGTCACTAAAGTAGGCTACATACTAACTAATGAATGTAACACACTACTAAAATAAAGTTACCTCTTCATCAACGAATATTAGTTGCCAACGAATACCTTCACCATTAACATTTTTGTAATCTTTTGTTAATCCACGACAAATGACTAACACTTTGATCATGCATGTTGTTGCAGATCTCTTCAACTTGCTAATAGGTATACATTTGTCTCCTAGATCTTCTAAACTTGTCATTGTAATCATGTAGTAGCTACCACGTACTAACACAATATATATTTATGAAATAGAAATGGTTAATCTTTGTCTAATTAGTACCATTTAAATGTCATTTGATGATGATATTAAAAAATGTTATATGTTCCAAATATATACTAATCCTTGAGGTTCGATTTGAAAAGTAGGCAACTTCAACTAACAATTGAATTATATATCACATTAATTTGAAGAATATTGCAAGAACAAAGTCGAGTAGGGTTATCAATCTTTGGGGTGGCGTACGCAAGAAACCTGTTAAAACATGAATTAAAACAAAAACAAAATTGAACTGACAAATAGAAAAGGTAATTTCAAGTTGAATTATGTGTCATTTGTTCAAAAAAATTATATAGTCCAAATAAATACTAATAGTTGAGATTCAATTAAAAAGTAAGCAACTACAACTAACAATAGAATAAAATATCACATAAATGAGAAATATTGCAAAAACAAAGTCGAGAAGTGTTATCAATGTTTGAGGTGTAATATGCAAGAAACTAGGGCTGTACATGACCGGGTTGATTTGGGTTTTTCAAATATCAAACTAAACTATTTGTGTAAAAATTTCAAATTTATAAACCAAACCAAACTAATAAAATTTGGATTTTTTCGGATTTTTCAAATACCAAACCAAACTAATAAACCTCGGATTTTTTCAGATTTTTGGATTTTTTCAGTAAAATTTGCATACAAACATATAATTAACTTGTGTTCCAAATATTTCTTTAGTCCAACCAAAATACAATTATCTAAGGTGTTTCTTAAGAAAATAACACAAAATATGAGATGAGTGATGACACTAAAATATTCAATAAAAAATAATAATGAAATCATCATATAAAAAAATATTGCAAAGTAATAATGAAAATGATCATAATTTAAAAGTATTAAATCATGCTAAAATAAGTTTAATAAGTTTTAGTTACATTACTAAATATTTAAGGAAAATTAAAATTAGATTATGTATTTTAATTGTCTAAATCAATGTAAAACTAAAAAACAAATATTCAATATTATTGTCATTCTTAGTGTTGAATTGATTTTCTTTTTGCATTAGTATTGGTATGATTTTGATTTAAGTTTTATTATAATTATCAACATCTATGAACTATAATCTTTATTGGACCATTCCGAATTCTAAGTTTTAAACTTGAAATAATACATTAAAAGATAAAAACTATGAAATAGTATAAGAAATATTTTAAAATTATATCAATGTAAATTTTTTTATGTATAAAATAAAATTTTAAAATTACATATATAATGTCAGGTTGGTTTGGTCTCGGGTTGGTTTTTTTTAGTTAAAACCAAACCAACCCAAATATAGTCGGGTTTTTTTCTCAATACCAAACCAAGTCAAACCAAACCACTAGTCGGATTTTTTGTTCGGTTTGCGATTTGGTTCGGTTTTCGGTTCGATTTTGTACACCCCTACAAGAAACCTATTACAAATAGGGAAAATTAGCAAATTAGTAAACATTCCTAGCATAATTATTAAAAACACCTACACTTTAAAATAATTATTTAAAATATCAATATGTCAATATTTTAGCCAGTATAATGTTCCTAATATAATTTATTTACCTTCCTTTTTTCTCAAATTAGTCCCACTTTTTGACCCCATTCACTGCTTCTCTCTCTAATAATTCCCCTGCTATTAGGGATGTCAAATGGACGGGTTGGGTTGAAATTAGAGATATTAAAATGGGTTGAATAGAAATCGGGTTGGGTCTTGACCCACCCAAGTTTACTTTGGGCTCAAATGGGCTAAAAAATAGGTTGGGTTTGGACCCACCCAATTTGACCCGCTTAATCACAATAATTTTAACATAGTGATATTTAACTTTTATAATCACAATTTGAATTTCAACTCAAGATTTTTTTTTAAAAAAAATAACAAATGGATAGATAAATCCTAAAAGATATTAAATAGATAATAATGCATACCTTCAATATAGGAACATATCTTAATAAAGAATTTTAAAACGGGTTAAAATTGGAAATTGAATTGGGCTCAATTGAGGATTCTCTTAAAATGGGTTAGACTTGAATGAGTTGAGATTGAACCCAATTCAAATTATCTTGCGCCCAACCCTTAAAACTCTGGACGGGTTGGGAGGGTTACCTATGTTTGGGTTCATTTTTGACACCCCTACCTGCTATTATTAGCCCCAAATCCTCTCCTATAGAGCAGGTCTTAGCGACACAGCTGCTTCTTTATCAATAAGCTTTTTGTTACTTTAACTAGGGGTGTGCAAAAACTAAATCGACCGATAAATTGAACCGATAAAAGTGTTATTGATTTATTGTTATTGGTTATTGGGTTAAAGGTTTTTTAATGGTTTTACAAAAAAAATTATTGGGTTATCGGTTCGGTATTGGTTTTTAATAATGGGTTATTGGGTAATCAATAACCCATTAAGACTAGTAATTCACTACTTTTACTTGTACATAAATATTATATATTAATCTCAATACCTTAGTAGTTACTATCTTTGTCCTTTAACCTTCAATTCACACTTTACAGTGACTTTGAGTTCACAATTTCACATTATAAAAAACGTTAAAATCTTAAGTAAGAACCATATTCCTCTTAATTTCGCTTTGTGTTATGCTTGTATAATTCTTTTCATGTTTGTTATTATTGTTTCTATTTTATGAGCTTTTGTAAAGTTACATTATTGTGTTTTCGCATCAAATTTATTAGAAAATTCATATATTTGTTTTATAAGTATTTTCTTATTGGTTAAACCGAAAACCTAACTGTTAATGACCAAAATCGATAAACCAAAAACCGATAAAAAATATCTTATTGGTTTGATTATTGGTTTAACATATTTAAAAACCAAAAACCGATAAACCAAACCAATACTACATAAAACCAAACCGAACCGACTGATGCACACCCCTAATTTTAACCCTGCTTACATATCCTTTATTAAGACGATTGTATTGGGAAAAAAAAAAATCTCAACCTCTCCACTTCTAAACAAAGCCTTTCTTTCATATCCTGATCTTTCACTATGTGAATTTTGAACGGAACATTCGCTTTTACTAACGGTAACGCTAATTCAGTCGCTTTATTGTTGGTCAATTATTTTTATTTTATTCAGCATTGGTATTTCTTAAGCATAAATGTATCCTATTTTTTTCACAGTCAATTTGTATTTTTTAAAAAAATATTATATCCTTCCTCAACATATTGTATTATTTCCACTATGTATACTATTTTTTTCCCCAAAATTTTGTATCCCTATTTTTTTCACAGTCAATTTATTTTTTTTATAGAGTATTGTATCATTTCCTCAACAGATTGTATTATTTCCACCATGTATGCTATTTTTTTTCCTGAATCTTGTATTCCTATTTCGTTCACAGTCAATTTTATTTTTTTAGAGTATTGTATCCTTCCTCAACAAATTATATTATTTCCATCATGTATGCTATTTTTTTCCAGAATCTTGTATCCTTTCATAAATCATATTCATATGTAATGATTATATTATATTGGGATAGAATCAGTAATATTTTTGTAATACAAATAAAAGAAAAATAGATTTGGCAGTCATATAATACAATTTTGACCACTGGAATACAATCCACGATTAAGATCTTGATAAATGAGAAAAATGGAGATTCAAATTGTTAATCCAATCGAATGAGAAAGGGGATTTCTTTGAAATTGTAACTGATGAGAATTTTAAGTGATATGTTCCTTTTTTTTTTAAAAATATTCTCTCTTTTGATTTTCTCCTTTATGTTTTTAAATAATTGTATTCTTGCAAATCAAACAAAGAAAAAATACATAACAAACTAAAATATTGACATTTTAAATAAATATTGAAAGTATGGCTAAGGGATCCTATTAAATGTCAAAATATTGACATTTTTGAAAATTTTCCTTACAAATATTAAACCACAATTTAAAACAAAATCAAAATTGAACTAACAAAGAGAAAATGTTATCTCCAGTCGAGCTAACAAAGTCAAAATTGAACTAACTAGTTGGTTTGTGTATTTTAATTAAGAATAGGGATAAAATGGTAATTCAATTTCGAAGATTGGAGCTTTCCACTTATATAATTTATGATTTATGATGATAATATAATACAATATTATTACGTTATATATAAGCCATTTTTTTGAATTGTTTTGGTCACATGTACAATTATATAATAAATCAATACATAAACCCTCAGTATATGTTGTTGGGTTATGAAGGTGATTAGGGCGGCATGTGAAAGTTTACAATTGCAAATCATATGATTGACAAATCAGACGACAAATAAAAATATACTAAAGACATATTATTAATATGGTTTGGTCAAGCGACCTACATATTGAAAACTAATATTAAAAAAAAATATAAATATGTTTAGGAGAAAATCTCTCCATGAACGAGACTCTTAAACGACTACATTGTAGATTCTATTGTGTTCTAGATATGAGAATAGGGGTATTCAATTTATAGAGTTCCAAACTTTTCTTCCAAGGAAAGAATAACTCAAATATGGAAGAATATTATATTTTCCTTTTAGAAAAAGTTAAAGCATTTATGGTAATACTTTGACTTTCTTATAAGGAAAAAATAAACTTCAAGTAAGAAAAGAAAATCAGGGTAAAACCCTAACATATATAACGTATAAAAAATTGAGTTGAACCACAACTATATACATACATTAATGGAAATATTCATTTATTCTTTTGAAAAAACCGTAAATAAAAGTAGAACTCTTACAACCAGTTGCTATTACAAGAAACCCTCAGCAACTATAGAATAACACATATATAAACATCATTGACTTATATGATCATGATTCAATCATACCATTTGGTAACACACAGAATTGAAATAGTACATTCAACTCTTATGATATGATTCAATTAAACCCAATATTCCCAATCAAAGAATAAAATATGCATCCATTTTTTGATTAGTTTGTGATGATCATCAAACTCTCATGATTCCTTCACTTGATGAGCCCAAATTGACACCATTTGGTTGGTCTATACAAAAAGACAAAAATTAAATTAGTGATACATTTTTTTCGCGGGGTTCTATTACTCTTGAACTATAATGAAATTGTCAGTTATATATTTTGTTTTTGCGAAAATTCTATTATTCCTAGATTATTTAAATAATAGTAGGTTAAATTGCACCATAAGTATAGTAAATTAGATGAAGAGCTTACTTTGTGGTATGTTGGATACAAAAAAACATGCACCAATGACAATGTAACAGAGCAGGAGGACTAATCCTTTAATATAGTGAGATGTTCCATCCTGCAATATTAATTAATTGTAAGTACCAACTAAATCTGTATTCACGTATGATATGACGAAATTTGTATTCACGTCAAGAATACTATTTTAGGGGTAAAGCATTCTCAAATTACCTGTAGAGTGAAAGCTGTGACAATTATTGCCAAAGCAAGGGAACTTGTCTCAAGAAGACTAAAATCAAGATCCATTCTTACACCAATAATCCATGATATAATCACACATAATGGAACCTGAATAATTAAAAAAACAAAAGATTATCATAGTCAGTTTTAAAAAATGAAAAATATAAAAAAAAATTGATTAGAAAAATCACTTAATTTAAAACAAATGGAAATGAAGAAACTTATTACATTGTGGTAAAAAAAAAGTAAATTATTATCGATATACTTTAACATGTTGTAACAGGTTATCTGTCTTATTTATCATGTTCCAATTACAAACTAGCTACTTTCTATTTACTCGGTATTTGAGTATCTTCTAAATGATCGTAAAAATTCTATTACATATCAATGTAGAGAAATTAAACTCGAAACAACTTTGAGTAAGATACTTACCACAAACATGGCAATTTGAGTTGCTGAACCTAAGGCAACTCCCAAAGAAATGTCCTGCATTATCCAAAAAAAAATTATCCTTTTATAAGTTCTCTTATTATTATTAGTGCATGATTATAAAAATAATAATAATTATATTTGCTGATTTAATTATTAGACATTGTACATACCAACTTGTTCTTGAAAGCAAAAATTATAGCCCCAGCATGTTCAGCAGCATTTCCAACAATTGGTAATAAAATAACACTGATGAAACTCACTGAAATTCCCCAAGAATCTGATGCTGCCTATTTAATTTAAATAAAAAAAATTGTCAAGACTTTATAATTCAAAAAAATCCCTCCTATTTTATTTAAATTTAAAAAACATTAAAAAAAAAAAACTGACCTCAATGGTACCAACAACATATTCAGATAATAGAGCAATAAGAATAGTCATTCCAACCAACCATGCAAATGCACTCCAAAATCCAAGCACTGCTTCTTCATCTTCGTTATCATCGCCTTCGTTATCTTCCTGATTAATGACGAAAGAATTTAGCTTATATACTTTGATATTATTATAAATATTTTTTTTGTAATCGTTGAATTAAACGATTCCAAAATTAAGATAACCATCAGACAGGCATATAAACAATAGGTTCAACTAAATTTAGTATTTTAACATAAATCTTATTATATCTAAAAGATCACTAACATTCAAGGAAATATTGAATTTTGATTTTGTAATAATAAAAGTGATGGATATATATGGTGGTAAGAATCTGAAATTGAACCCATCAAACTTAAATTTCGGAACATCAACAATGGACCTAGAGCAGAATACATAATTCATTAAATATTATTATTGACGGTGAACTCAATTATTATTGTATATTATTTGATGTAGCTATAGAAACACATAAACTTTAAATTCTAGATCTGCTTTGGGTTCTAAAGAAGAATAAAATATTGCAAGGCATGTTTCCTAGGAAAAAAAAAGGAGTAAATTTTGATGATAGTGGTGTTCGAACCCACAAAACTCTAGTGTGACAAAGTGTTTCTATGACCCTTCCTTACCACTGAGCCGTCAGCCAGTTTAGTTATATTAGGTTCACAAGTTAATATACATATATATATATATATATATATATATATATATATATATATATATATTTATTTAATTTTCTAATACAAATACAGGGTCTACGAGAAAGCTACTGGGTTCATCCATATCCACGAACCCCCCACCAAACTCTGCCCTTGGCTTGACTGCCGCAATATGTCTAAACCATTGGATCATGAAATTTTTCATTTTTTTCCGTAGTTAAACCTCGAAAAACACATTTGGACATAAAATTCAAAATTCAACTTGAAGTTGCATTCCAGAATTTTCAAGAATTTTAGTAGCTCAGTTGGTTGGCTATTTGAACTCTCTTTTTATTGGTGAAAGTTCGATTCTCCATATTATAATCCCCTCCCTTCCTCTGAAAAACAACTCTAATTTGTATTCATAACGAGAACAAAACTTCAATTTTAAATTATTAAAAAAATCATTTCGGAAAACTTTTTTTTTTCAAATTTCACAATAAAACATGATCAAACGCAGTTACTTACGGCTTGTGCGTCGAAAAGTTGTCTGTGAGTCCACAACTGGAAAACAAGATAACCAAAATAAGCAAGTAGCATAACAATGCAGCTGACTCTTGATAGATTCAATGTTGCTTGTGCTGTTATTGCTGCTGATTCTCCAACTCCAGCATAACGGAACATCAAAGGCAACACATGACATAATAATCCCAACAGCAAAAGTAGAGAGTTCACATCTGCTTGTTTCTGTTCAATCAAATAAAACAAAAACAATTCAACTTCTATACCACGTCTGATTTGAGATCATGATTTCACATTCTAATCTTATAATTAAAAAAAAAAATAGTATTTCGTATTCAAAATTGTGATTTCAATTTATATTTTTAAATATAAAACTTGACTTATGAATTTATGTTCTGATATAGTTCAAGTTCATAACGATACGTAGCGGTCCATAATAAGAGTATAGGTTCAAAATTTTAAAATACTAGTACACCACAAAACATAGGGTGACTTCAAGATAGCACGTGTGCCCACTTCCTATATACTAGGTTGTGGAACGGACATATTCTATAGCCAAACAGCAAAATATTATTATTTACTAGCATATTAGCAATGAATTAGCGATAAAAGTTCGTAGCGAATCTCAATTTTTTATAGTGATTGGGGGAATCAAGATGATGATAAAGTGAAAATAAAATAAAATTACTTACTCTATCATATTTTTGTTCCTTGGATATATTTGCAATGCCACCACAAAATAATGAAGTGCCAAGAACCAAAAGAAGATTTGAAAGAATAGATCCCAAGAGTGAATATTTGACAACATCCACTTTATGTTGGATTAGAGCAAATATTGCTATTATAAGTTCTGTGGCATTTCCACATGTTGCATTTAGAAGCCCTCCAACTGATCAATACAACAAATTAAACAAATAACAATTAGAACTAAGGAAAAAAAAAATCTTTTTCTTCCTCTTTATGTGTCAAGTTAAATTAAACTAGCAAGAGGTTGTTGTTATATTGTTTATTGATATAAAAAGTAGTATTAAAAGAAGAAGAAGAAGAAAACAAAGGAATTTCCAACTTTATATTTGTTCAATTTAGTGGTGAAGCTACCTAGACCAGAGAGTGGTCTATCCAATATTCTTCGTCGAAAAATTCTAATGTATTTATAAAATATTAAAGTATTGAATATCTTTGATGGGAATTCCTAATTTTTCTACTGATACTAATTTATTTCATAACGTTAGTTGTGGTCCTTCACTATCATGTTATTATATACAGAAAGGATAGCTTTTTTTTTGCTTTGTGGATTAAAAAAAGCCAATAAAGATTTAAAAATAAATAAATGGGAAAGTACCTGTTGGACCAGTAAAGAAAGCTATTTGTCTGCAATTCAAAACGATCAAAAAAATTAATAATAGGTGATTTTAGTAATAATCAATTCAAATCGACTCGTAAACAATTTTAATAATCAAATTATACCATAGAAAAAACAATTTAACTTACTCTGTCAAGAAGCTGACACGTTCAGCCAATGGAGTAAGTCCAAGTAAACTCAATCCAAAAACCCATGGCTGATATAATATAGAAAAAAATTAAAATAAGAATATCAGTATTATAAAATAAATTAATCAAGAAATCACAAAAAAGATATTCTCAGATTCATAATCTTTCAACGGATCTTTTAGTTATTTAAAAAGAAAAAAAAAACAGTTTTTTAAATGTTTTGTTCTAATGTTACATTCACTTCATGACCAACTCATGAGAAATAACTTATGTTGTTAAATAAAATAACACTTTTAATTACTTAATTATATTACGTATTCAACTAATGCATACACAAAGCTTATAAGTCGGTGAAAGGGATCCATCCAAATTTCCATCACTCAAAATGTACATCGTATATTATATACTATTAAAATTAATTTGTATGCCAATAAAATTTTGACTCCATTATTTGTCCTCATGTATGTAACTGATATAGAGTTGACATTAAATCCCTTTAACTTCTTCATATGTATATGTTTTTTAATTAGTTTAAACTCACTTAGTGAAAAAATTCTGACTCCATCATTTGCCCTCACGTGTGTAATTGATTCGTTTTAAAATGGCATAAACACGTGAAAATACATTTCGTTTTAATATATGTAATTTTATTCAAAACAACCTCTTATCCACTCTGACACCATATTAAATTGTGTGACTATCGAAATAATCACACAATTGAATATAAAAGAGAACTTACTCTTCCAAAGTTTTTGTAATGAGCAACAATGGCAATAGGTATGGCAATGAAGAGCACAAAAAGCTTAGTTCCCAAAATGACCTCTTGAACATTAGCAAGAACATCTCTAACAATGGCACAAGGTACTTTCCGTACAAGGGTAAGATCAGACTTTTTCCTAAGAGACGAAGACGATACGTTGTGAGCCGTTCGTCCATGGCTACGACCATGGCCATGGCGCATCTCTTTGCTTAATGGCTTAATATGTCCATTTTCTAAGAGCCATGTTTCTGCTGCTGGTGATGATGAAGCCATAGTTTTGTTTTGTATTTTTGGAAAATAACTTATTTTGTGTATTTTGGTTTTATATTGTGAGAACTCTCATCTTGTATGAGTATGGGGTTGGCACAGGATATATATAGGTTAATTTGTCACATGCAAGAAATTTCCAAGAAGTTTCATATTTTGTTTCTCTGTAAGGTATTTGATATTTTATAATATTGAGGCTCAACTAAGTTTGAATTCAGATCGAAAAGTTTTATATTAGACAGTATAGCACTTTAATTTCTAACAGGGGAATCTTAGTAGCTCATTTGATTAGTTATCTACACTTTTACCTTATGTGCATGTTAAAGAATGACAAAAGTCTCACATTGGTGGTTGATGAGATGGTCCGATTCCTTATAAGGCTCGGACAATCTTCATCCCTGTGAGCTAGCTTTTGGAGGTGTAAGTTACATTAGAGTCCGTGCCCAATTTAACAAGATGGGAAAAACATTAGTTATATTACCATTTATGAAACTTTTTTAAATATTGGGATATATTTGAACCTTTTGAATTATTTAGGGGAATGATTCATGTTGTTGTACATGATATATGTATAAATTAATTTGATAGTTTAGAGTAAGTTTAAATCTTTTAATTGTCTACGTCGCTTTAGAGTTTAGTGTGATTGTCAGGATTCGACTCCTCTTCATTTTCCTTGTCTTCATTTTTCTCAAGTTCTAGCCCTGATTAATGACAAATAGCATAAGTTAGATTTAATGGTTTAGATTTAATTAATTAAAATATATCCCTAACCATGGTTTAGATAATAAATATATTATTATATCAATTAAAAATAGTCTTATTATTTCTCCCCTTTTATCTTTCTCCAAGTCCGATGTTTCTCTCTTTTCTCCCTATTCCCTCCAAATTTTTCTTTGCTGTCATTTTGCAACACTCAAAACTATTATTTTTTTGGGATAATAATCTTTTAATCCTTAATTTTAACTAATACTAATAATTTATTTATTTTTTGTTACGGTGGAATGTTTTGTCCACGTGGAGTGTGATGTGACAATTTTTTTAAATAAAAGAGAGTTTTTTACACACATGGTGAGAGTGTTATAAAAGAGAGAGTTGTGTTTCTCAAACTAATAAATGATAGTTTAGGTATGAAATTCGCACCCTCAATAGTTTAGGTATGAAACTAAAAAAAAGGGATAGTTTAGATGTATTTTTGACACTTGTCTTTTAATTTATTTAATAAAATAAAAATATACATTAATTAATTATGATTAAGTAATAACTCGGTATATTTCAACATATGGCATACATTATTAATTTAGTGCGTAAGCACTTCGTATGAGTAAATGTTTACCCAAAATGAAAATAACATTTTGAGACCCTGAAATAAAAATAATATACTATTTTTAATAGAATAGGGGATTTTTCTCACAATCGCAACATAAAATATAGGAGGTCACATATTCAAATTTTAAAAATAATGTATCATAAAAATGTAAGGAATATAAAATTGTGTACAATAGATATTATGTAAGGTTCGTCCTTTCTTTGGGCCCGTGCTAGAACTTAGTTCACTGATCTGTCTTAAAATTTTAGAGTAGAGAAAATATTTTTTTAAGTTAGGAATAGTGTTTGAATGAGAATAAATACTGTAGGTTGAACTTTTTATGAGGTCAAGAAAATAATTTAACAAGTGAAAATGTGTCTCTTGACATTTTATAAATCACATTTTTCAATTTCAAGTCCAAGTCAACCAGTCTCATGACATAACTTAGCTTCCATTATCATACAAAGGTAAAGAATAATTGTTTCATTAATTCAAACAAACTTTTACTTTATGGTAAAGAAAAATCCATATACAAGACTACAAAAGTAGGTGATAATCAAACCTATTTATCACCATGTCATTGATCTAAAAGATAGTTTACATACACCACATTTAATGAATAAAGGTTTAATACGTTTTAGACCAAGTACTTTTTATATCAATATGGTGTCCAAGGACGTATGTTAAGACTTTCTTGACTTTTATAAAATATTTGTGTTGGTAAATGTTTGATTAATGAATATAATAGGGATATCATATAAGTGAGATAAAAGAGAACTTATGCAGTTCTCATCATTCACTTTGTATCGACGATATTATTGAGAACATATATTTTTTGTATTCACTCTATACTTATTGTATTTTTGTTTGCAGGTTTTGTTCTAGGTCCTAGTGCACTAGGTGCTGTGGGAGTGAGCTGTTTGATTATTCCGCAAATATGAAATATATTAAAGTTAAAGTTGACCAAACTTTAATATATTTCATACAAATATTTCATGCTGTGGGAGTGAGCTGTTTGACTAATATAGCTTATACATGCAAAAGGAATTCAAAATAAAGACCAAAAAGAACATAAGTCAAAATTTCAACACCTAAATAGTTAGTTAGTTACTATTTTATATATTTTCTACTATTTTATATATATATATATATATATATATATAACTATTTTTTGGTACGATATTTAGTAGTTCAATATATTTTTTATAACTATCAAACATCATACTGAATTTCATACTTTTTGGAAATGCATACCAAATACTATACCAACTATCACAATATTCAAATCACGATATTAAAAATTTTGATTTCAATTGATATTTGATGTATATTATCTACCATACCATGTCCATCTGTAATCGTTACTTAGGAAAATTGGTAATTTGTGAGAAATGAATGGGTTTACCACGAATCTTGGTGGAACACCAAGGCTTTAGTACAAATTGTATCGTAATTGTATAACAATTTTTTTACAAGTCCATTATTAATTTTTTCAATGCATTTTTCCTTCGAAATAGATGAAAATTCATTTAAATCAACTCCAAATGAATACTTCTTTCGTCCCATTTTATGTGGCATTTTCTAGATTTTGAGATTCAAACAAGTCTATTTTTTACCGTAAGTTTTTCATAGATTGTTTAAACATTTTGAATTATCAATTATTGTGATTTATAGTACTTTTTATGTAGTTTACAAATACTTACATATATTTCATTTCGAAACAAATTGAAGATTCTATGTGCAATTTGTCAGTCAAACTTAGTGTGTTTGACTCTCAAAAAACGAAAAGTATCACATAAATTGGGACAGATAACATATAATATTCCAACATCAATCACAATAATTTTTAATGGTAAGATTCAAACAAAAGTCATCAACAATCAATACCCCCCCCCCCCTCCCCTTTATTTTTTTGGTCTTCTTTAGTAATCGAGCTCTACCAATGAAGTAGTTTTCAAAAAAATAATTTTAACAACTAAATCAACCACAAATAAGTATCAAATTTCTACCACATATATTAAAAAGACGAAAAAAAAACGTGAGAAAAAAAAAAGAGAAAAAGTACCATTCTAGCGAATATATAATATGCTAAACTTAGAGGGTGTTTGGATTAACTTAATAGTTGGTCAAACCTATTTTTAAGTCAGTTTTTGACTTCTGATAATGTTTGACAAATATAAAAATTAATTTAAAATAAGTTTTAAAAAATGACTTAAAATAAGTTATGAAGTGTTTGACAAGGTAAAAAAATGACTTAAAATAAGTCAAAAAAATCAAAAGTAGGTCGCCCCTATTTTTTATTTTTTTACTTAAAAGTCATTTGACTTTTTTTTTTTACTTAAAAATTACTTTTTGGAAAAAACTACTTTTTTAAGTCAATCCAAACAGACTCATGTGACAAAAATAATGTAGTTTTCAAGTTTTAACAACTAAATCAACCACAAATAAGTAACTATATTCAATTTCGACCACACATAGAAAGAAGACGAAAAAATATGAGAAAAAAGAGAGAGAATACAAATTCTAGCAAATATATATATACGCTAAATCTATTTACATGCAAAAATAAAATAAAATAATACCCACGCCTTTAAAAAGGAGTTCTTGTCCGTCTTTGTCATTGAAAGTTTGAAACTAAATTTTCAATATTTACTAATATTAAATAAAAAGAAAATTGATCGAAAAATATTTTAAGTGATCAAATTAAATAATAAATTTTATTTACAATTTTTCTCTATTTCACCAAAAATAGAGAAAAGCAAAGCTCATTATTCTGAGAACACAACATTAGTATGAGGTCATATGTACCTTAACTTGCAGAGAAAATATGTTGTTTCTTATGGCGTATCGTCATTTTTATCTAGACGTGATGTAATGGATCATAACAGCTTAGTGATGGAGTCGAAATTTTTTCTCTGAAATCAAAATGATACTTATTAAGTTATTATCATAATTCATGAGATTTGTATGAACCTATAATCTATCTTAATTTATGATGTTACATTCACACCACGTTAGATTATTCTCTTATGTCAAATTCGACAATTTATATATATATATATATATATATTACTAAAACAAAGTATTTTTGTTATATTAATTTTACGGTATATTTTTTGCAAAGAGGGATATAATTATACCCTTTTGGCTCTATATAGCTCCAAATTTCAATCATGTTAGGATTTTAACCTTTAATTAAAGATTTTGAGTTTGAATCAATAAATTAAAAAAAAATTGACCATTCTAAAAAAAAAAAACTAGATTTTTTTTCCACCTCATTTGATAATTCACTAGTATTTTTTTTTATTAGTATCTTTCTCGACAGCAACTTGGGGACAGAGCCGTAATAAAGATGTAGTACGGCTTTTGTACTTTCCTGTGAAACTTCCTTGAAATTTCTGCTCTAATTATTAGAGAATAGAGGATTATTTTTTAATTTATTTGGTCGATATTTATATTAAAATTTTAAGGCAGAAGTATTCATTTCCCCCCTGAACTTGAAGTTTTTTATACAGTGTACACCTAAACTAAATTTCATTTTAATTACCCCCGAACTTGTTTATTCCTCCGTCGCGTACACTTTTTTCGTCCACCTACTCCTGTTGGGACTACACGCGCGCGACAGCTGTCTAAATTGGTGATGTGGATTTCCACCTGGATAAATAATAGCCACCTGGATAAATTAATATTGCAAAAAATAAATTTCTTAAATTTAAAATTCATTGTTTAAAAGTTATTTTTGAATAAGGGCTGATTTCGCGGAACTCCTTTTGGA